ACAGGTTTGTAGACTAAGAGCAATAGGCCATACCATAAAAGGTTATATAGCCTAGGTGTGTAATAGGCTGTATCTTCTAGGCTTGTGTAAGTATACTCTATGATGTTTCCATGATGATGAAATCATCTAATGGTGCATTTCTCAGAACAAACTCCTGTCATTAAGCTATACATAACTGTACTTGTATGCAAATGCCCTCAAAATATATTATTATCTCAAAATTAATATTAAATATTGAAAGGTTGATGTATTTACCAAACATACCCTACTATCAATGTTCTTCATTGTTAATAGATCAAGGGACTTCAGAGAATGTCCTGTAGGTGAAATGAAGTAAAGGCACACATGGACTCGAGAATCATGGTACTCAAAAAATGAACGTTTAATCTTCAGTTCTTCTTGAAGATATGCCTCAAGTTGAGCATCTATGTAGTCAATTATTGGTTGGTAGCTAAAAAAAGATTATTTAAACATTTAGCATAACATATTAATAAAATATGGTCTTCTTTTTCACCACTTAATAAATAGTTAATATACATACTGAACAGTTTGCCACAGTGATAAAAATGTGCATAACATGTCCATACAAAGATAATATTAAATAATTCCAAACCAGTAATAAGGCCCATGCTTTACTCTTTGGGTATGTAAAATGTAAACATAAAGAAACACTATGTGAAGGGTATACAAAAACTATCTGTAGACTTATTTTAGCACTCCTCTGAATCAAAAATTATCTCAAAATTAAAAGTTTTAAGTAAGAGGGTATCAAAAGGGCCTAGGAACTAATTGAAAGCTAACTAAAATACTTCTCAATGACCAAGGCTGGAAAATTTTGATCAACAAAATTAATTTCTATAGTGTTATATTATAACTCATAAAATAAATATTCATTAGTTCAACTGATGTATATAAGCAATTGAATGAATGAATATATCATTGGGAGAGAAATAAACTATGCTTTAGACAAAAATTCAAATTAGTAAACATAGAAGAGATGAGGAAAGATACAAATTTGACAGTAAAACATCAGAATGATAATAGTTACAAGCAAAATCCAAAATGGATGCTTTTAAAAGTGGGTGAAAGTTTAAGGAGAAAGAGAATATTTCCATAGTCTCAAAGCAAATATCACAAACCAAGATTTTTATTCATTACAAAGCAAAAATTATAACTTTATAGTGGAGAAACTGTGTGGATGTTACCTTAATCTTAATGAAGTTTAACATCACTAGTAATAAGATATCCACATCATGTACTTCCTGTTATGATATACTGAGAAAGGTAAATCAACTCTGTAGTATTCTCGCAAAATTCACAGCCTCAATATAATCATGAGAAAATATTAAGAAAACCAAAATTTAAAAACGTTCTACAAAATAACTGGCCAGTGCTCTTAAAATATTTAAAAGTCATGAAAGGTAAAAAGACATGGGGAACTACCACAAATTAAGTTAGACCAAAGAGACATGACAAATAAATAAAAAGTGTGCTCCTTTATTGGATTTTGGAACAAAAAAAGTTATTAGTGGAAAGACAGGTGAAACTGAATAGTTTATAGTATGGTAAATTGCATTGTAGCAATAATAATTTCTTTTAATAATCACTATATGGGATGTTAACATTAAAGAAAAATGGTAAAAGAAGCTCTCTTTACTAATTGGAATTACAAAAGTCTAAAATTTCTGAAGGGGAAAGATGGCAAAATAGGCAATTCTAGCCCTCAGAATCCCAAAGAAACATCAAATTTGACAAACATCCATGGATAAGAATATCTCTGTGGGAGCCCAGGAGCCCAGTGGAGAGATTATTGCACCCCATTTGAGCAAAAAATATCCAAGAATAAATACATTGAAGAGGCTAAAAACAGTTTTACTTTACCAGTGTCATCTCTCTCCCAGAGTGTCATAATTCAGTGTAAAAAGAGAGTTCATCAACTCACAAGTTTACCTATGGTGAAGTGAGAGCAGAGTAAGCACCAGGCTTCTCCAGTCATGAAGAAAGTTACTAAAAAATCCTGATTCTGCCATGGTTCACCCAGAACACTGAAGGGATCAGATTGGCTGAATAGTCTGGTGGGAAATAGAGCAAGGAAAAGGAGCTCAAGCAATCACCACATAGATCTCAAAAACCAGCCACAGATACTACTAATAAGCACACAGACTGCAGCAAGAGGCCTGCCCATGAACACCAGCAAGAGAAAAGTTAAGTCATCACATGCAAGGAAACTCCATAAAGCTATCAGCAGATTTCTAAGCAGAACATTACAGGCAAGGAATGCAACAGTATAGTCAAAATGCTGAAAGGAAAAAAAAACCTGCCAATCAAGAATACTGAACCTGGAAAAGCTGTCCTTCAGAAATGAAGGAGACATAGAGACTTTACCAAACAAAACAAAAGCTGAGGAAGTCCATCACCACTAGACTTGCCTTGCAAGAAAAGCTTAAGAGAGTTCTTCAAGTTGAAACTAAAGAACATTAAATAGCAACATGAAGACATATGAAAGTATACTACTTACTGGTAAGGATAAGTACACAGTCGAATTCAGAAAATTCTAATGTTGTAATGTTGATACGTAAATTATTTTAATGCTATAAAAGTTAAAAGAAAGTATTAAAAATAACTATAGCTATGATAATTTGTTAATGGCTACATATTAAAAGTAATATAAATATTGACATCAATAATATATTACATCATTAAGTATGAAATGTCCAATTTCCTTAAGTACTAAGTTTGACAGTTGATATCTCTGACATTTCACTTTAACACTTCTTGGTTTTTTTCCTGTTGTTAAGGTATATCCTCAGTCTTTCAAATGCATGGTTTGGCTTGTGATTACCTTTCACATTTTTTAAGAGGAATTTTTGTGAAACCATGGATAAGTCAAAAATTCATGTTATTTTCGAATGTGAGTTCCATCATGGAACCAATGCAATGCAGATAGCTCAAAATATCATCGAAGTGTTTGGAAAGGATGTGGCCAATGAATGCACAGTACATCAATGGTTTGAGAAGTTCCATTATGGTGATTTTAATTTTGAAAGTGAGCCATGTGGGTGACCTGAGACCAAGATGGATCATGATGAGCTGAAAGCTGTAGTGGAAGCGAATCCATCTCAAACTATGTGTGAATTAGTAGCAAGGTTTGATGTTACTATTCCAACAATATTGGACCAGTTAAAACAAATTGGCAATGTAAAGAAGCTGGATAGATGGGTACCACATGAATTAAATGAGTGTCAGAAGAAACATCATCTCAAAGCTTGCCTTTCTTTGCTGTCAAAACATAAAGGTAAAACATTTCTGCACTGTATTGTTATGTGTGATGAAAAATGGATTCTTTTTGGCAATTACCAGCATTCATCCCCCAAAACCAAATATTCATCAAAAGAAGCTAATGGTGTCTATTTGGTGGTCCAGCGCTGGTATTATCCACTACAGCTTCATGAAACCTGGTCAATCAATTACAGTGGATGTCTACATCAATCAATTGGATGAAATGATGAGGATGCTTGCAATTAAGCAGCTGAGATTGGTCAATAGAGACAGACTAATCCTCTTGCAAGACCACATGTCACAAAAAACAATGCTGCTGAAACTACAGAGGTTAGATTTGGAAACTCTCTGTCATCCACCATATTCACCAGACCTTGCACCAACTGACTACCACTTCCTCCAGGCTTTGGACTGCTTCTTGCAGAAAAAAATATTCAAATTTCAACAAGCTGTGGAAAACACATTTTGAAATTTCATCACCACTTGCTCTTCAGGCTTCTTTGCTGTTGGCATAAACAAGCTACCCTTTAAGATGGCAATGATGTGTCAATAGTTTAGGTGCATACTTTGATTCATTGTATTGTTTTTTGTTTGAGATATAGTAAACTAAACTTTTGATTCAAAATTGAACATTTCGTATTTAATGACCTAATAAAATGAGGGGAGAAGTAAAAGCATAGCATTTTTATTTGCAATCAAAGTTAAGTTGTTATAAGCACAAAATACCCTGTTACAAATATAAAATGTTTTATGTAAGACTTATAGTAAACATGAAGAAAAACTCTGTACTATATACACAAAAGACAAAGATAAAAATCAAAGTATAACACTACAAAAATCAAATCCCAAGGAAGGTAACAAGAGAGAAAGAAAGTAACTACAAAACAGTCAGAAAACAATTGAGAAAATCACAATTAGAAGTCCTTACCTATCAATAATTATTTTAAATGTAAATGGATTAAGTTTACTAATCAAAAGACATACGGTGGCTTAAATAGATAAAAACATAAGATCCAACCATATGCAGCCTACAAGAAATATGTTAGCCTCAAGGACACACATAAGCTGGAAGTAAGGAGATAGAAAAAAATTCTTGCAAATGGTAACCAAAGGAAAACAGGAATAGCAATTCCTATATCAGACAAAATAGACTTTAATTCAAAAATTATCACAAGAGGCAAAGTAGGTTATTATATAATGATATAGGACATGTTATTTTGTAGGATGGTTTTCAATTTGTTTTTTTCTTATATTTTCTAATGAATAGACTGAGGTGGTGAGATTTCGCATGAGTAACATGGAGTCAATTTGCCTTTCTCAGTGTATCCTAACAGGAGGTACATATTGTGGATATGTCTTATTGCTAGTAATGTTAAACTTGATAAAGGGGTCAATATAATACAGACAAGATAGCCAATCCTCATGGATGACTTTGAGGGGTTCAAGACTTCAGTGGAAGAATTAACTGCTGATGTGGTGGAAATAGAAAGAGAATGAGAATGAGAAGTGGAGCCTGAAGATGGGACTGAATTGCTGCCATCTCATGATCAAACTTGAATGGATGAGGAGTTGCTTCTTATGGATGAGAAAGTAGTATCTTGAGATAGAATCTACTTCTGGTGAAGAAGCTGTGAATATTGTTGAAATGACGAGAAATGATTTAGAATATTCCATAAACTTAGCTGATAAAGCAGTGGCACAGTTTGAGAGTATTGGTTCCAATTTTGAAAGAAGTTCTACTGTGGGTAAAATGCTATCAAACAACACACATGCTACAGAGAAATATTTTATGAAAGAAAATGTCAATCAATATGACAAACTTCATCATTGTCTTACTTTAAGAAATTGCTACAACTACCCCAACCTTCAGCAACCACCACCCAGATTAGTCAGCAACCATCAATATTGAAGCAAGATCCTCCATCGGCAGGGAGATTATGACTCCCTGAAGGCACAGATGATCATTAGCATTTTTAGCAATAAAGTATCTGAATAAAGGGACACACATTTTTTAGACATAGTCCTATTGTACATGTAATATAGTATAGCGTAAATATAACTTTATATGCAATTGGAAACCAAAAAAATTGTGAGACTTGGCTTATATTAATATTTACTTTATTTCGGTGGTCAGAAACTGAACCCATAATATCTCAGAGATATGCCCATATA